GGGGGGGGGCAGGAATCACAGAAATAACAGCATTGCATTTCTAACTACAGAAGACCGTAAAATTAGTTGCCATTACTGTAACATAATGAACTGGCTTTCTCTAAAGAATTTGTTCTGTAAATCCTTCAGACCTACCTTTTACCAAGTTAGACTCCCATTTTATGTATTAGTCACATTGTGTTCAGGTTGTGCTACAGTGAAATAAGAGGTAGATCTGACATTCAACAGCACTATTGTTTTATTCTATCTTCTCCCAAAGATGACTTTGGGAGATCCAACTAAGTTATCACGTTTAGCTTATTCTGCCCACAGAATCTTTCTAACTGTGGGACCAAGAAAAACTGGAGAGCACTGTTCTGCTCGTAAGGAAAGTTTATATTCTGCTGTGATCACAGAACTGCAGGATCTAAAATAATCTGCAAAACCTTTCTCCCCCAAAGCTTTATTTGAAACTGTATGCATAAAAAAAGTCTCAGAAAGAGAAACAGCTGTATCAACTCAAGAGTACAGATAATGCAAACAAAAATATATTTTTTTTTCTGAGGATGAAGGATTTTCTAGAATATATTTTTAGGAATACGGCATAATTTACCAGTGCTTATATACTCTGAGCCCAAATTTTATCTGTGAACAAGGCTGCAACACCTAACAGATCCAAACAGGAATAAAAGATTCCTATCAAATCTCTTAGAAGCATGATAACTTGAAGATGAATTATTTGATTTTTACTTTCAAACAAGGATGCCTTCTTAGCTCTTAAGTACTACTCCAATTTATATTAAATGTTTCTTTCCAGAGTAACTCTTTCCTCCCATTTATTATTTATGGTTTTCTCAATGCTCCCTCTGTTGCATCATTTGTTTTCTGTATGCAACCAGCCCCTGTTAAAAAAAAAGGATGACATTTCTTCATTCTTCACGTAGTTTCCACAATCTCTCAGGTTCTCTAGCACATTCACGAAGGCCTTTTTTTTCCTCTCTACAAGTTATTTGATTAAGGCAGAAGATTTACAATCATCTCAGCAATTTTCCCTCTGTTCCCTGCAATCCCACCACCACCACCTTCCCCAACTGCAATAGGTTTTGATGTTTTAACTCAATGAAATGTAGGGATTCTTTCTCTGGAGTAGTTCCAGTTTAGTTTTCCCATCCAGTAAGAGATATGTGAAACACAGTCCTTGAAGACTCTTTTCCAACAGCTATCAACCAAGGAAGAACAGGCTGTCAGGTTTGACGTGAATATGAGCACATCCTTGTATCTGCTGACAAAAAATAGTACCTGGAGCCATGAAGTGTTGCAGAAAAGCAGAATTTAAGAAGACAAGCAAATCTATTCTCTGTTTTGTAAATTTTCAGTTATTAGATCAGGTGTCACCGAGACCAACAGATTCTGTAGAATACCAAAGTGTCCCAGAAAGCAATAGTGGATTGGAGAAATTAAACAGACAATAAAACTATCTGCACCCAGAACTCTAAAATGTTCACCACTGAATACTAAAGGGCTCTTCACATAATGTGTTGTGAGAAACAAAAATAGAGATTGTTATTAAAATGTGTGTATTCATATAAAATTTCTCCTTCACACTTTAAAATTATTGTAGTTTTTTTCCCAGAAACCAAGATCGATACAACTAAGAACTCAAATGATAGTTTTGCTTAGAAAAAAAACCAAAACCAAAACAAACACTTTATTTGCTTTTCTTACTACTGTAATGTTAAGGAATTTGTAAGAAAGAAAACTCTATACTCACAACATATTTCCTATGTTCATCAATAGGACTTATAGCTACCTCATGGGAACTGGGGAGAGCGTATCACAGTTTGCCTTCTCCTACAGGTGTGTGATAGCAGAGATACCAAAGCCTTCTAAGAAAGTTAGGCTAACAGACTTGCCAAAGCATAAAGAACAAGACTCAGCCTGTCACTGAAGCATGTAAGATTTCTTTCAACTGCTCATAAAGCTACTACTGCAAAGGAATCACTGATCTGACAAAAGCCTCTGGACACTACGGTGAAACAAATAAAGAGATGAAAGTAGTTAGTGTACATTAGGGCTGGAAAACACATAGGGCTAGCATTGTCGTAATAAGATGCTACTGCCATATAATTGCTTTTCTGACCATATCCAGACATAGTTAAATCACAAAAAATCAGAGCCAGAAAGACCTAGTAGGTATTCCAGTCCATTCTCCTGCCAGTGCAGATGATTGTAAGGTAACTCTTCTGTATCTGTATCAGATAAAACATCTCCTGCTACAGGCAGTGTGTGCGGTCTGGTTTCCATCCAGCCTCAGACTTTAAACAAAATATAACTGGAAATTCATTTTGGTCAAAACCCTACAAGTCTCACAACAGATACAGACCTTAGACTTTCCTATAATGCTTGGAGTGGTCCTGCCAGACACACACATATCTAGCACAGATTTGAGACAGAAATATCTGAAGGCAAGGCAGATGCTATAAATGCTGTCTATTACTGAAATGTTTCCAAATAAAATGAGAGTGAAACATTAGTAAAACCTGTCCATCACTGACAATGTAGCTTAACAGACCTACTCTGGTAAAACGAGGTATGCCAACAAAAGTAAAACAGGTTTTACTGATTCTGTATCTTTACTAATTCTATATCTTCTCATTTTCTAAGTTCTCTGGCAAAAAAATTATTTAAGCACATTCACGTCTAAGGATTTATAAACATGCATACCAAATGGACTAGCCAGGATGGCCATGATATGATCTGCAACACACAAATCAAGTTAAGAGCTGCATTTGGAAAAAGGGTGCGTTTAACTTTTCACTGTACCATATAGTTTTTAAAGAAATGTAGCATATTAAAAGCATGAAGAAACTAGTTTAAAACACTTACTGTTCTTATATTATGAAACCGAGTTACTATTAAAGCCGCGATACTGTGAGGATTTGTCTTTCTATTTCAAGAAAGTTTTAATATATGAAGATGATATATGATAAGAAAATATTGTTACCAAGGATTTTGGCAGTAAAGGAACTTGTGTTAGAAGTCAGTTTTGACAATTCTTTGAATCTAAAAGACCTGTAAGTACTAAAATGTCATCTGTCTATCCATGTGAGATTTGGCTTTGGCAGTATTTCAAAAGTGAAAAAACATTCTTTGTTATATATTTTCCCTACGACAATATATTTTCAAAGCTGTCTAAGAGGCCATATTCTCTTGAGAAGTACAGTAAGATGTATATGTGTTACAGAAATATTTGCAGAAAAAAATGAAGTTTGAATAGTCACAATCAATGGGTCAAACTGTGAATAAAAGCACAAAGCGTGGAATTTATCATCAAGACTTGGCACTTAAAGATTTCAAATCATTTCTTCAGGTTAGAGATTCATTGTTCTGTTCCAGCTAAATTAAACAAACCATTTGGACGCTAACCTGATTATCTCCATATAAATTTGTCTATTGTTAAGTGATGCCATTATCACTCCCTCTCCCCCTTTTTTGTTTGTTTGGGGTTTTTGGGGGGTTTTTGTTTGGTTTTTTGTTTTTTTTTTTAATTATGGACTACTCCAAATACAGGTCTGGCAAATGGAGCTGTCTGGCTCATAGGGTTATTTTTTTAAATGCTTTAAAAATAAAAAGAGAGAGAGAAGGTTAGAAAAGAAAGCGAGACAAGGAGTGCACTAATTGCTCAACCCTGACCTCTTCCAAACCACTGCAAAACTATTAGAAGTTGCCTGAACTGGTTTTTTATGCAGTTCAGCTTTGGCCTTTTTCAATAGCCACAGGTACACTGATGCCCCCTTTAAAGCTAGGGCTACACGTGGAATTAGTAAGAGATCTGTAATTATTTTTTAAAGATGAAAACAAATGATCTTTAAATCACGTTTAAAAGAATTCCTGTGAAAAGATTATTCAGTAACTGTAGTTGCTGATCAGTGGAACTATGGTGAATTCTGCCAACTGTGCTCAGCCGATAAAGACATTAAAATAACAAGAAATTATTACATGTAATTTTCTGAGTACTTACACATTCTTGGATTTGAATGCTTCAGCAAAGTGCTGCACACTCTGAAGAGAAGCAAGGTCTAAGGTCATTGCTTCTACCTTGGCTTTATGCTGGAAGAAGAGAAAATATAAAAAAAGATAAATAACAGCAAGTTTAGTTCACAGTATCACGTTACAGTAAATGTGTTATGAAACTTGTCCGATTCCCTCGTTTAACATTATAACCCCAAAGTGAATACAAATCATCAAAAAGAATGGACGAGTACAACATTTAGTGCCAAAAGCAGCATTGTGATTTTGTAGTTCTGGTAAAAACGTACACGGTGCAACACGCAGCTTTCTATAATGCAATGAACTGACAAGATAGCGTTAAGGTTAATATGGTATCTTTTGTCTTCCATTTAGCTAGTGAAACTCATGTAACTCATGAAATAAAAAGTAGAGTAAGCATTATACTTAATGCGTGGTACTTTTTACATACCATAGGAATTAAAAAATGCTCAGTAAATACTCTATAAAAAGCAGCTAAATTCAAACCTGCATATATTAATAAAAAATAATCTATTGTTCATAGCAGGTGTTATAAAAGACAGTGTAAAATGAGTACAGAAAACAACTGATCAGCCTATACAGTTTTTCATACAAGAGTTTACATAAGAGTGTGTAATATCTTCTAAAGAAATTGTAAGCCACTGTACTTAAACCAAACTTTTCACCTAGAAGAGGACATGCAACTGCCCAAAAATGACAGGTTAACCTGAAGGTGCTAACCTTAGGCACCACCAAAACAACTCTTCCCAGTATTTTTAGCTTTAAGATCCCTGTTCTCAGATCTTTTGAAACGCTTACACTCCAAATCTCAGCACAAAATGAACCGAAAGTCTATTTTCATTGCAACCACTACAGTAAAAGTCATCAGAGAATCAAGTGGACTTGTAGTTCTTTCAAGCGAGTTCTGAACTAGCTTTCACGTGACTGCAGCTGCGCGTCTGCACCGCAACATCCAACAGCTGTCTTTAGTTCTTCCACAAACACTATACTTTTATACACGATACTCTGCAAAATACCAATCGTCATGGCATATAAGTCACGTAGATGCCCATAGGAATTACAAACATGTGCATTTGTGCTCACCTTTGCTTTTAGCCTCACTGCTGCCCAACACCACATCAATTCTCTGGTACATAAAAGAAAGCAGGCAGAAGCCCTGTACCCTCCCCAACCTAAACATGTGAACTTTCGGGACACTCTGCTTAGCTTATTCAGGAAAAAAGAAATTAGAGGGACACTTCATGTAATTCCAACGTGCTACCTGCACCTGCGTACAGTGGTCATGGTTCAGAGCGGACATTAGCATTGCTACAAGAAAGAGTAAGAAAAGATGGAGCAGATACAGCAGTACTATGCAATCAAAGGCAGCATTTGAGCAGAGAGGCAATAGGAGCTCTGTTAGCACTATGGTGCAACAAGGTTATACAGTGAGCATTTCTGGAGGAACAAAAAGGAAGGAAGCTGCACGCGTGTCAGCGCAGAAGGAAGCCAAGAAGAGTGCTCCCATTGTCTCCCAAGTTCAAGCAATTCATCTGATCTCCATGCTTCATTACATCTGGTACTTTTCTCCCTACATCTGTTCTCTATTTTGCTAGCACCCATTCTGCCTGCTGCAATTACCTTACAGGTTGGGTTTAAACAGAATGTCACTCAAATTCCTTTTGTCCCACTCCAGCCAGACTTATCAGGACAGCAAAATAAATACAACTAACATTTCGACAGGTTCAGTTCCCATCAGAAGTATCAATTGAAGGAGCCTGAAAATGCTAAACCCAGCTTTGTTAGAAAGAGGTTTTTTACCCTCACAAGGTACACCTCATTCCGGAATTCATTTTGCCCCACTGGGTAAATATTTTCTTCTCTTTGATGGTCAGAGACTTGAGAAAGACGATGCTGCCTTGCATTATGCAATGCAGCTCCATAACAGCATCTCTTCAACTTTGCAGTTCAAAGCTGTTTACTTAACAGAGGAGTAGCGTGCATAGTTGGGTTTATTTTGCTTCTGCTTTCCTCAGTTGAAACATTCTCCTGTCTCTCCCAAGGGTAAAAGGACAAAAATGCTACAAATACAGGGACATAAGGGAAGTAAAAAAAAAAAATAAAAATAATCAAGTAGTTCAACAGACTATACCACAAGCTGTTAGCTACTGTCCTTTTGGCGACACAGGTTCTAGTCCACACGATATTACGCAGGTAATGCTTTTCCTCTTGGTGCCACATGTTAGCCTCCTGCTACTGATTCCAAGAACAGAAAAGAGATGTTTATGTATTTCATGTCCAAAGGGGAAAAAAAAAAAAAAAGTGTGATGCCTCCAAAAGACTTTCAGAAATAGAAATTAAACAGACTAAGATTGGCCTGGATTTGTGGATGAATATATTGAAAATGTAAAAATCAGAAATTTAAAAATCATAAATTATTGACAGTGATAAATGGTTGACTGTTAGATAGCATATGCAAACTATAATTATGTTTCTTCTGTACCAGTTCCATCAATTAAGTGAAACCTCCTTTCTATTCATACCCCATTTTCTTCAGCCAGTAAGATAATTTATTTCAAACAATTTAACACTACTTCACCTTTTGTTCTTTTAGCTTTGATACACATACAGTTACATAAAAAGACAAAGAAAACATTTGTTAAGAAATTCAAGAAACTGTACCTAAAATGACCTGAAAAAGCAAAAATGGAGAAGGAAAAAAAGGATGGGTGTAGTAATTTTTTTCATTGAATAGGTCAGCAAAGGCAAATTCCAAAATACTTTTTTTTTTTTTCCCCCAACTTTCTCCCTGCTTTTGCTTAAGATCCTGACAGTAACAGACTGTATTTCCTTCATATATATAGAAGGTATATACATACACACTGAGCACCGAGACACCCATTTGCTCTGTTTTCCGGACAGGAGAAACTGGAGCACGTGACATCCAAGGCACTCAGATCAGAACTTGCCACCTCTGTTTCTGGAGCCACGCAAAAAGCCAAGCGTGAGTATTTTCTCCAACAGTAACTGGGGAAAAAATCAGTGTACATACCATGAGATCAGGCGAGTTCCCCAACTTTTCTGTTTCAGATTCTCCTCTGTCAACTGAGATTCAAGCACCTCTTACTCCACAGAGGTAATCTGTAGACCATCAATTCCTACTATAGCTTGAGAACATCAAATGCTAAGGCTTCGATATCAACTCATTTTCATTCCAAATTTTCCCACTCTTGCTTCGATGTTACAATTTCTTTAAAAAAAAGCTATGAATAAGGCAATATACTTGCAAGGTATGTTCTTAATAATGTAAGAATGTCTCCAATCAATGAGAAGTAGAAGGCTTTTTGTTTTCTTACAGTACCTCAGTAATACCTTTGTTATAATG